GATATTTTAAAACACTATGTATTTAAAATTGAATTTTTCTATTAAATTAAATCTTCTTCATATTATTATTTAAATTTAATAAACTCAAAGTTAACAATTTTAGTCTTTCAAAATATTATTTAAATTACCACAAGATAAACAAATTGGATAAAAAAAAAAAGACCTTCACTGATCAATTTGTCATCATATTCTCCATTTTCTGTTCATTTTTTCATTGTTATACAATATTCAATTTTTGCAAAGATGAATTTATTATGAAAGAATTTCACTATAAAAAATAAAAAAACAAAATCGTATCTAAAATTATTATCAACTATATCCATTAACAAGGTAGTTGAGGTAACACTCTTTAATTGCAAAACGAAATAGAAATATGACATTTTTCGTTGAAGACTTCGAACAACTATATTCATTAACAAGGTAGTTGAGATAACATTCCTTAATTGCAAAATGAAATAGAAATATGATATTCTTCGTTGAAGATTTCGAAGTAAACCATTGAGTTAAGGTTGAAAGTTGAAAAGGAATAAATCTTGCATCAAACATCATCAACAGTAAACTAGTCAAACATAGGGAAACCAAGTATTTAGATGACTTTTATTGAGAACTTTAGCCTTAATTGGGAATAATATATAACATAAGTTGCCAACAATAAGGTCTTAATTAGCACGAATAAAAATATTAGGAAGAAATTGAAAACAAGAACTCAGCTGAGGGACAACTTATAATTATCCCTTAATATTTCCTAGAGAGTAGCGACTGCACTGCTCTGGAACCTGAGATCAGTCTTGAAATCCTAAGCGATCTCTCGCACAAGGCTCTGGAACGGAAGCTTTCGGATCAAGAGCTCAGTACTCTTCTGGTACTTCCTGATCTCTCTCAAAGCCACAGTTCTCGGCCTGAAACGGTGAGGCTTCTTCACTCCTTCAGTGGCCGGTGCTGATTTACGAGCAGCTTGGCGGCAAGCTGCTTCCTCGGCGCCTTGCCTCCGGTTGACTTCCTGGTTGTTTGCTTAGTACGAGCCATCTCAGGGAACAACAGTGAGATTCTAAGGAATTTTGGGAGAGGGGGGAAGCGGGAACTTTCGAAATTTGCAACGCTTCTCATTGCCGTCGGTGAGAAAAGAGAGTGCAAAACAAATTCAATTCAAAATTGAAATTCAGGGGTTTTAGGGTGAAATTGAAATACACGTATTTTACTCTTGAGAATTACATTATTAAAATACATGTATTTCATTCAAATTCAATTACTTTTTATTTATGTAATAACAAACAGTGATATTGAATTTTAACCCTTCAAATTCAAATACATTGTTTCAAATTCGTGTTACCAAACATACCATTAAAAATTTTTAAATCAAATATCAATTATAAGTCATATCCGAGCTGTGCTTATAAATGCTTCCTACTAAGTTTAGGTTTAGCGGAAGGATGATAAAATTATTTTAAAAATAACAGTACAATTCTATTGGGCACAGATTTATAGGCCCTAAAACGGGTCCATTCCATTGGGCCAACTATTAACAAAGCCCACCACTTGGCATTTTATTGGGATATAAGGGAGTGGAGAAGGCCGAATCCAACCAAGCACAAATGGATGAGATTTGGGTATGGGTACAGCCGTTAATTGCAATTACTTTATAAGTAGTATATTTGAATTGTAATAATAAATAAGTAATGGATATAAAAATAATATATTTATAAGTATTAAATTAAGTAATAAGTATTGGAGAGCAAAATTATTTTT